CAACAAATAAAACTGTTTAAAAAGAAAATAATATTACCTGATCTCAAATATCCATAGTTTGTAATTGCAAAATGTAACATCATTTCCATTTCACATCACCAAACACAGACAAGTGTGGGATGGAAAGAGAAAATAAAAAAAGGAAAGGAAAGGAGAAGACGACTTGGAATCACACAGCTGGCTTCTGCTTGCCAAATAACTTTTCCAAAATGCATAATTCTAAAATAACTAAAAGTTCTATAGACCTTATTTTGCCTTTTATTCAAAGTTTTCAGAAACTGAACAGCAAAAGGTTTAGGGTGCAATACTAGGTTGTTCAGGTCTTCGGATGACAAACATTATCAAACACTACCTGAAAACAAAAAAAGTAGCTCTTGGGCAATGGATTTTGTTTGTACCTTCTTTCAGACCTCACATGGTTAAGATCAGAAGTAACTGTAAGATTGTCTCCAGGTTACACTGCCACGCCAAAACAAGGTTTTGTGGACAATCCTTCCTCCCTTCCTCAGAGAAGCATGTACCCAACAGTACCATGCGCCCACTTCCAGAAATCATTTGAAGAAAAATGCTGAAAAGCTGCTCACAAAACTACCCGAGCAATATCACCAACATGCATATGTTAAAATTACATTAATAATGAAAAATGAAGCTATTCAAACTTCCTATGAAAACCTAATTCAGGCCCCTGTGTGAACACAGCACAGCTCCTAACTACTTGATCACAGACTTGTTGCCCATGGGACACCTGCCTTACCCCATGCACAGACTGTGCCTTCCTCAAAGATGGAGCACGGCCAGGAAATAAAGACTGCTGCACAGACTCACCAGCCTCGACTGCAGAACTGAGCAGGCACACAGAATAGGCTTACATACCCCAGGACTGGTCGTACATGTTCACTCCACAAAGGCCAAAATTTTCTTTATTTGGTTTTAGACAGAGAAAAAAAGGGGCTAAGAAGCAACTCTCAGAGTCAGAGCACTTCTGATGGAAGCGCAAGAAGGCCCCATAGATAATGCATCCTTAACCCCATCCAAGCTCCTCTTTGACTTCTAGGTGTCACATTAGATCAGCACTACTGCATTAACGAGGAACTTTCAGTACCCATAGATGTACAGAGCATAAGAAACAAGACACAAATAAAACTGTAGTAAAACCTCCTGGAGGTCGTCAACAAGCAAGTGGAGGAAAAGAAGGTTATCAGGAGTAGTCAGCATGGATTCACCAAGGGGAAATCATGCCTGACCAATCTGATAGCTTTCTATGATGACATGACTGGCTGGGCAGACGAACGGAGAGCCGTGGATGTTGTCTACCTTGACTTCAGCAAGGCTTTCGACACAGTCTCCCATAACATCCTCCTAGGGAAGCTCAGGAAGTGTGGGCTGGATGAGTGGTCGGTGAAGTGGATAGAGAACTGGCTGAATGGCAGAACTCAGAGGGTTGTCATCAGCGGCGCTGAGTCTAGTTGGAGGCTGGTAACAAGTGGTGTCCCCCAGGGGTCAGTACTGGGCCCAGTCTTGGTTAACTTCTTCATCAACGACCTGGATGAAGAGTTAGAATGTACCCTCAGCAAGTTTGCTGATGACACCAAACTGGGAGGTGTGGTAGATACACC